TAAAACTTAAAAAAAAAAAGGCCGTGCCCTTTTATGTAATGATGTTTACTTTGAATTTATATTAGTTCACACAAACACTCCATCCATGCTTTTTTTTTCGGCCCTCCGGTCCAGTTTAAGAACCCATTGTGGCCCTCGAGTCAAAAAGTTTGCCCACCCCTGCTCTAGGGCAGCGGTCGCCAACCTTTCGGACCTCACGGACCACCGGTTGGCGACCGCTGCTCTAGGTCTTTCACAGTATTTGCTGTCCTCGGGCCAGATCGAGGTCATCTTTGGAAGGAAAAGAGCCTCTGGATTTTTTAAAATGCCATTTTAGGAAGGTGCTTTCTGTTCTTCAGAGTCAGTGCCTACATGGAATCCACAGAATGTGCCCATCAAAATACCGAGAACAAGTATTTCATTGCCTGCATAATTCTTCATTAAATAAATATGTTTGTTAACTCAACGAACACTTGTGGAAACCTTATTAAGAGGATATAGTTGCCCGGTCTCCACTTGCTCACAGCCTAGTGGTGAGGAAACCAGCACTTATGCTACACGTGGCAAGTAGCAGAGTAGCGACCAGGGTCCTCCGGAAGCACAGGGTCCGGGCCTTGAGGCCCACACTGGACTGGAGGGGGTTCTACGTACAGGTGGCTTGATCTGAGCCCTGGGGATGACCGAGCTCTATTAGCCAAAGAGAAATAGAGCCCCAGAAAACTGCAAGAGAACAAATGCGACAATGTAAGTGAGGACAAACAGGAGGCAGAAAAAGATGGCAGGAACGCAGGGTTCAAACCAGGGTGATGTGAACGTCCCAGCGATAGCCCCAGGTCAGCAGGAAAGCAGCAAGGGCCCTGAGGAAGGGGGGTAAGATTCCTTTCCTGTTGGAAACAGATCAGCAGACAGGAGGAGGTCTGAGGGGGAAGAGGCTGGGGCCAGGGAGACTGTTAGGAGCCCGCACATCAAGAATCCCTTCCGTGCTCACTTCGGCTGCACATACACTAAAATCGAAATAATACAGAGAGGATCAGCATGGCCCCTGCCCAAGGATGACACTCAAATTCGTGTAGCGTTCCGTATTTACGAACATCACCAGTTTTATGAACATAGGCTCCAACGAAGATCTGCTTTAGAAGGAAAGGACTGGAACAGCATAGGGCAAGGCTGTTCATTCATGGAGGAACCATGTTTGGCTGGAGATCACACATCTGTTAAACAGAATACCTCAACTTTGTTTCTTCTGGAGAGAAATAACAGTCTTAAGATGTTTGTTTTTTTGTTTTTTTAAAATATATTTTATTGAGTTTTTACAGAGAGGAAGGGAGAGAGATAGTTAGAAACATCGATGAGAGAGGAACATCGATCAGCCGCCTCCTGCACATCCCCTAGTGGGGATGTGCCCGCAACCCAGGTACATGCCCTTGACCGGAATCGAACCCGGGACCCTTCAGTCCGCAGGTTGACGCTCCATCCACTGAGCCAAACCGGCCAGGGTGAGGCCACATCACTTTAATAGCTCCTTTTGCCGGCGGGGGCGGGGGGGCAGATCTGCCATAGTAAATATACGAGGATGGGACAAGCACTTTGACTTTAGAAACAACAGGGCTTAAGACCTTCTTCAGAGACGTGCGGCGTCCCGAGGTCAGCCCACACGGATCCTCACATGTGGCACTCTCGGAGGGGACTGCCAGTGACCTGGGCAAAGCACTAGAACGAGCTCCTTGAGCAAATGCTCCAGAGGCTCTTTTTTTAAAAGTATATTTTTAATTGATTTCAGAGAGGAAGGAAGGGGGAGAGAGAGAGAGAGAGAGAGCGCGTGCAAGAGAGACATCAATGATGAGAAAGAATCATTGATCAGCTGCCTCCTGCACACTCCATACTGAGGATCGAGCCCGCAACCCGGGCATGTGCCCTGACTAGAAATGGAACCGTGATCTCCTGGTTCAAAGGTTGACAATCAACCATGAGCCACGCCTCTGGGCCAGAGGCCCTTCCAGAAGGAAAAGTGCGACAGCGGAGTTGCAGCTCAGATAGGAGCTGGGTGCCAGCATCGGGGTGTGAGGTGCGAGTCATGTATAATCAGAAGCACCCTTCAAAACCCTTCTGCTCGTAAAATACACCCCACATGGTCTGGGGACAGTGGGCTCTTCCCACGGCCAGTGTCTCCTCCAGGGGTTGGGAAAGATCTTTGATTCTCTGCTCAGGCACCAGATGAAGGAGTGGGATTGTGTCTGGGGCCACATTATTAGAAACAAAAGTGCATTATTATCATTGCCAGGGCATGTGGTGAATTCAGATAAATTACGAGTGATGAGACTCCAGAGCGCGAGAGATGTGTTTTTGTTTTGTCCTCCAAGACCTCCGAGAGCCGTGACGGGCTCACGGCTGCTGTGGGTCTCCCTCCGGAACAGATCTGGCTGCAGCGCTTCCCAAGCATGTGTCCACCCAAACGCGAGCTGCCAGAGCCCTGGTTGACTTCTCCGGGAAAGGAGCGCTGTCTGGGAAATGCTGCTCCACTCACTGTGCAGGATGGGGAGGATCCAACATGACCTTTGCATCAGAGCTGGCAACATTCTTCCCTCGGATTTAAATAGAGCGATGACTGTTCCTCCAATCTTCCTCGGTGGAGGCAGCTCTGAGGAATGGACCGGAGAGTTCGTACAGCACAGCGAGGACAAGCCAGGGATGAGTCAGAGGCCAGGGTCATGTTACAGTGCCAGCCCCCGGAACCCAGCTGTGGTCCGGGATCACAGCAGCAGCCTCCCAGCGCCCTGGGGGTGGACGGCTCCCCTTGTCAGCCTCTCCAACTGTGTCTGAACAGAGGTGGCCCTTCTCAACGAGCGCTGTCTTCTCAGTGAGCATACTTGCCTCCATGTGACACTGGGCTTTTTCACAACCAGCAAGCCAAGTTTCCCTCCTTGCTTGCTTCCTCCCTTTTTTATTGAGCACCAACTACAGATCCTGCACTGTTTTAACTCAGAGAACATCACGGAGAGCATAATGACAGGGCTCCTTGAAATGCCTAGTCAGGTGTGCATGTATGCGTGCGTGCGTGCGTGTGTGTGCGTGCGTGCGTGTGTGTGTGTGTGTGTGTGTGTGTGTGTGATGGGATGGATAAGCAAACAAGCATTGCAACAGCCCTTGTATATGCTCAGTTGGTGAAGTGGAGGAGGCCAAGGCACCTGAATTGGGATTTCAGGAGTCCTTCCTTCCACCTGTCTGTCCTCCATGTCAGGAAATGTACTCCATGCTGGGGCACAAAAGGCCCAGTTCCAGTCCTCAGGAGCTCAGGGCCTAGTGTTCACAGGTGACAGCTGCACAGGGATGGGAGCCATAGGACCCAGAGATCCGGGGGCAGCGGGACCAGCTGCAAG